TTAAAAAAAATTATAATAAACAAGTATTAATGGGTTTTAGAAGGCTAGCAGATTAAGTATAGAATGTAGATTTCATTTTAAATTATAATCTGCGACAATAATTCATTTTTGCAACTTATTTTATTCTTTAACGATCAACGGATCATCAATAATATCATCATTATGGTAAATAGCCATATTTAAATCAATTAATTCTTCAATATCTCCACTGCTTGTTGCACTCCAGAGACCGGCTTTAGGTGAGTTAATAGATATACCAAGCTGGGCAAATGATGCTTTATTTCCATTAATGTCTATAAAGTAATCATCAGGTGAATTTTCATCAATGCCTTTATTGAGTACTCCATTAACGGATAAAGTGTCTTCAGTAATTTGTTCGAATGTAGTTGCACCATTAAGTTTTTTAAATGTTGCTGTAGCTTTATCACCAACAGCTGTACGACAAAGGGGAGTTGCATGTAAATAGGTAAAAATGAATGCGAAAAGAGCGATGCATCTGGTTTTCAACATTTTTTAAATAAATTTTAATTTTTTTTTTTTTGAGTGGGCAAAAACATACTCTTTTATATTCAATTTATCATTAGGAAAGTTATACTGTAATAAGTATATGTTTCTCATCTTTTCAAACCATACAAATAAATTAATGTTGATACTTTTTTTCTTATTCCAATTATTTAATTAATTTAAGGTAATCCTTATGACACGCCATCAATTTCATGTGAGACTGCAAAGTAATTAAATTTACCCTTACATGTATTTCTATTCACAAATACAATTGAAATGTATAATACTAAACTTTAAAATCATCTGATTGAATTTCAAAATCAAAATTTTTGGTAGGATTTCCAGACGACCAATATCATGCCGAACTGTTTTTTTAATTCCCTTATTTGGAGTCCATTAAAGCCAATTTCATTTATATATTGATCTACAAGTTAAACCCACCTAAATAAATTAAAAAGATACCTTAACTTGGAAGATCTACATCGAATATCAAATTTTTTACATAATGCAAAAAAAAAAAAAAAAAGATTGAAAATACAAAAAATGAGTATCGAGAGAGTAATTTACCTGAACTACTTACCAAATCATTAACCTTAAAACAATAACATTAATTTTAGTTATTTCGTTTAAATACCCTTCCAAATAAAAATAGACCGATGATATCATTCTTTTCAGACATAAATTAATATAATGCAGGACAAATTAAATTTCACTTATGAGCTTATTAGAAATCAAACCACGACATCATGTGCATCATGTACATGTTTTACGTCAGAATAGAATCTTGATAGAAGAACAATATGGCACAGAGTTCAAAATGGTATTTTACACCCTCATACTAGGGTGGTAAACGGACTAAGTAATCAAAACTATGTAAGGTAACTATAGAATTTAATATATTACAGATTTTTCATGTTACACGAAGGAAAAAATCGTTATCACTATTAATACATATCGATATAACAATAATCTTAATATATTTATTAAAAATTTCAAAACGATTCAACTCACTAAAAAGACAATGAATTGCTTGGAAATTTTCACAAAATGTCTACAAGGTGTCGAACAACAAAGTTACGTTCGAATATTTTATGCTAATATGTAAATTTTAGGTGTTCAACTAATAGAATATATAATTTATTAAAAAAAATTCGTACAATAAGTACAACAAAAAAATTTACTAGAGCCTTTGCAAAAATCGAGCGTAACTTTTTAGAGATAGTTCTTATGAATAGATTTCAATCAAAAGAAATTAGAAAAAGAAGCGCAATATTCAGAGGAAACTTTTAGAAATTTGTGCTTTTCTTTAATCATTTTTAATTTCTCTGATTAAAAATTTGATCATAGTAAAATTACATAGCGACCTTACATAGTTTTGATTACTTAGTCCGTTTACCACCCTAACTACGTACGTATATATAATTGCCGGTGTGAATTTGCCTTGTATATACTTTTTTAGAAGCGTTAGTATAGATTTAGGTGAACCATGGTCACACTTTGATGATTAGCACCGGTATTGATAGACGTGTACATAATTAATTGGATATTAATAGTATTGGTGTTAATAAATAGTATTGATAAATATATATATAGTATATATTGATAAATATATAGTATTGATAGTATTGATAAGAAATACTAAAAATATTCAAGCGGAAAAGTGTCTATGGGTTCCAATTAGATATGCTTAAAAAGAAATTTCGTTTTGTCTCGAATGAATTGGTATAATAGTTCACTAAAAAAAAAAAAAAATTCATATGATCAAATCTTAAATATTTTATTGATTATTTATCTGATTCAACCCTTCTGATTGACGCACATTGAGCTTTCAATTACATAAACCCGATGTGTTATCGATCAGAAGGGCTAAGTAAAATAATATTCAATAGGGAGTCAAATAGATTACTACCCTCTCTGCTATTGACTTCATATTTGCTTACGGATTTTGGAATTAATAGGGTTACCTGATTATTACAATTTCAATATCAATCTGATTCCTGATTGACCTCATTTTGCGCCAAAATTCGTAAGCAATTAGGATACTTGGAATTGCCTACGTAATATCCTTCAAAAATATTGAATTAGAATCGAATGATTCTTTGCACCATTTTCTAAATTAGGTTCTCTTTAATAAGATATCTTCTTCTAAAAACCTAATCCTATACAGTTACTTAATGCGAAATATTGTCAGCGGCTGCAAAGTTTATTTTTTTTGAAAATTCACGTTATGTGCTAATAAAATGATGTCGATAAAACCCATCACGTGCTTGTATTGTCTGTATTTATTGTGTTGATCGATTTTATTATCGTTATCGTTATTGCTATTGTTATAACTCTTGGTTAAATTTAATATAACAGCCAATCAGATTTTATTCATAGTTTTAGCAAAAAAAAAAAGAATGATGATGTCTGATTTTGTCAGTGGCACGTGACTGTATGTCTCGCAAAAGAACTTTGTCAAGGTTAGTCATAAAAAAAATTATGTAATAATGTGTAATTTATCAACATCGTATGATTAATCTTAATCTTGATGGTTCTGGTAATTTCGACAAATTCCATAAATTCCATGAATTCCACATGAAAAATCTATATATATAATAAGAGAATTACAAACAAAAAAATTTCAAAAGACAAACACAATGTCTCTTATAAACCGTATTTTTCCATCACTCGCACAAGATCTTAAACTTTTAGAACTTGAACCATTTTTCTCTCCACTGTCACGTATTACGAGGACTTCTAACTTCCCTACTGCGTCTTCCGTTTTAAACGGTTATTTTCGTCCGTCGGTTGATGTTTCTGAAACTGATAAAAATTATGTCATAGAAGCCGAGGTTCCTGGCATGAAAAAAGTTGATCTTTCAGTTGAATTTGCTGATAATACTTTGACTTTAAAAGGAAAAGTTGAAAGATCTAACGATCAATTAAGAACTATTGATACGACGCAGTCTACTGGTGACGTAGTTGAAAATAGTCGAGAAGGTACATCCGTCGCAGAGCCTACTTATTGGACTAACGAAAGAATTTTAGGAAGTTTTCAACGTTCTATTACACTTCCTAATAATGCTGATAAGGAAAATGTTAAAGCGCAATATAAAGATGGAATTTTGTCTATTATCATTCCTAAAGTCGAACGTCAAAGTCAAAAGATTACCATTGAATAATATTATATTCTAATAGGTTATATCTTTTGTTCACATAACTGATATATAACTATTTTAACATTATGTAAATGTTAATTGTAAGAATTCTCATCTTTGTGTCAATAATCTACAATTACGTTTCATACGCATAATACGTACAGTATATTATATATACGTATATATATACAGTATATATTAAATTTCTATTTCTATCGTATTAATTACCGCTTGAATTTAATAAATTTTGTAATCCGCAGTGTTCGGCTTAATAAGCAAAAAAATAGTAAAGTCACACGTTTGTATATATAAGTATCATAAGAATTAAATAACCTAAATATCAAGGATCTTAGTCACGTGAAGTTAATTTTCAAGACTTGAAAAGTCATTTTTATTCCGTTGAAAAAGTATTTTTTTAATAGAAAAGTAAATCTAATTAGTGTCTCTGAATTTCTTATCTTTGCAAAGATGAATTCAATGACATCACCCCTGGCAAACGGTAACCTTGAATCATCAGAAATAAATGGAAATAATTTTTGGGCACATAAAGCGATCCTAGAACGAGTAAGTATTTGCTTAAAATCTTTCTCTTTATAAAATCTATAGGTTTGTTCTAATCTTTTCCTTTATTACTCAGAGGTATCAAAAATTTCTCGACGAAGTAACTCCATTCGTGGCATATAGATGGATTGCCACTGTGATTCTAGCATTATTATTTATGATCCGCATTATTTCATTGCAAGGTTTCTATATAGTAACATATGTAAGTACCAATAGATCTTTGATCTGTAATATTTATATACTAACTTGTTTGTTAATCGCAGGCATTAGGAATTTATCTTCTTAATCTGTTCCTTGCATTCCTGCAACCTAAATTTGATCCTTCATTGGAGATGGACATTGCAGAAAGTGAGGTGGAAGAAGGTCCTTCGCTTCCCACAAAAGCTGACGAAGAATTTCGACCTTTCATTCGTCGACTACCTGAATTTAAGTTTTGGTAAACCTATCTATTATTATTTCAATTAACTTTATATTCTTATACTTTATTATTTTTTTTTATATATTAATCTCTTTTTATATTTCATCTCATTTTAATTCGTTTAGGCATTCATCAACAAAAGCTGTTATCATCTCTTTAATTTGTACCTTCTTTTCAATGTTTGATATTCCAGTTTTTTGGCCGATACTTCTTATTTATTTTTGTATTCTATTCACTATTACCATGAAACGACAGATCAAACATATGATAAAATACAAGTATGTGTTTTTTATGTTTATCTTTTACTTTGGTATCATTTTACAATCATTTTGTATCATCTTACCTTGGTGATTTACTTTTTCCTCACGAATTATTTATTTTCTCCAATTATTTATTCTATAGATATATCCCATTCGATATCGGTAAAAGGCAGTATAAAAAATAATTATTTTATTAGTATTGGTCTTTTTTAATGCTTGTAAATCACATGATATATTAACATTATTAAAGACCATGGCTCATAAATTACGATGCATCTCCTTGCAGGTTAGATGAGATGTAAAGTGTATATGCCTCCATACATATTTTTTGTTTTATACAGTATTTCAATTAATATTTGTACTTTGAAATTTTAGTATTTAGAATTTTGGTTTAATCTTTGTTGTAACGAAAAAAGAAGACAAAAATCTAATGATTGAAATTTATTTATGTTTGTATTTACTTTCTATTTAATATTATCAATTGTGTGGATTTATGCAATTTACTTAATTTTTTATAATTGAGCAATGTATTTTAAATTATTTTCAGTATTTTCAATTTTAATTTCATGTCCACAATTATCGAGAATATATTGCAAAACTCTTTATAGATTTTTCGTACTTATCTTTATAGTCAATTTATGCCAGATTCTCCTGCTAATTAGATTACTTTGTTATAGTTTAGTAAATAGAATAGCCTCAAATTATAATATCAATATTATCCTGCCTTCTATTAAAATAATGTTTATTTATTTTTTGAAAAAAGTCCCCAATTTGTCATTATTTTTGGGCATTGTTGTATAAGATGACTTGCCCTTGGTGTCCTCCATTCTCCCAATTTGTCAAGTGTTCGTGCATAATGCATACATGTCTCGCGAAAAAATTTAATATACATACGTTCGTATATTTTTTTCTATAAAAAGTACAGTATAAAAAAAAAGACGATAATTGTTAATAAAAACTATATATATAAATATATATATATATATCATTATTAAAAAAGAATACAAACTTCAATTTTATGCTCTTGTGGTTCTAAATGATTATCTACTTTATTATACGGATATTGTATTACGAAAGCTTCAGGTACTACCCATATTTCCGCTCCATTAAAATACATTTGTAATAAGCAAGCTGCCTTACTTTTCTCAAACGTATCAAATCGTTCCGTGCACCTATGAGATTCAAAAAATTTTAGCTTTACTTCTTGTTTTAAATTCCTATACTAATTCCTATACTTGTTAACTTACCAAGGAATATCACTTCCTCGTTTCACAACAAAGTTTGGCTGATAATTTGAGTCATACCTAATTGATATATTATATATTACCATGTTAATCCACTTTTCATAATTGGTAGGTCCCTTATTTAATGTCCATCCTTGATCATTCATCCCCATAACGTTAAATTGAACAAGGTTTATCAATTCATCAACTGTATTTGGAATTTCATATTTATTTGCAAATTCTGTAAAGGAAAAAGCTGGCAAAACTAAAATATCTTTCTTCTTAAGTAATTTCTTGTGTTGTTTAAGATGATGTTTTGCCATTGGTGATGGCCATGTATCTTGATTAAGGA